ACCTTACTACAAATTGACCTGAAGAAAAAACACAATTTAGTTATTGCGCTTCTCACTTTTTCTGGCAAAATAGAACGTATACCTATTGGTAGAAAGTGTTCCATTATAACATGACAATCATGTGTCTTTAAACTCTTTAACTTGAGGTCTTTCATAGAAACAAGTCTTCTAACATCTGAAGAGTATCCTTCTGGAACTTTAACTTTACTCAGAAACTTACACAATACCTTTTTCTCCTTTCTAGATAAAGTATAAGCAGCAGGTGGTAGATATATTCGATTTCCTTTCTTCAAGGGTCATAATTCATTTCTTATTCCCATTGCTACCAAGTTCTTTCTTACTTTAAGGCCATCCTTATACTTTCCTTGTATATTGAGTAATGTACCAATAACACTTTCAAATACATTTTTTTCAATATGCATAACATCAAGAAAATGTCTTACATACAACGACTTCCAATACGGCAACTCAAACAAAATTGACCTCTTCTTCCACCCACGCGTGACAAGCGTATGGGCAAAAGGCTTGCCAAACTTAGTACTCACATTTTTCACCTTTTCAAAAATTTGTTTGTCGGTCAATGTAGGTGGAGCTCTACCTTGTTCTGAATTTCCATTGAATGTTTTTCTCCACCCACGGTAATGATGATTAGAATTTAAGAATCTAAGATGACCAAGAAAGATATTCTTCTGACCAAATTCCAATCGCGTCTAATCTGTGTGTTCTTCACAGATAGGACACGCACATTGACCTTTAATGCTATACCCCAGTAGATTTCTGTATGCTAGAAAATCATTAATTGTGCCAAACAACATCGCCCTCAAATTGAAACTTTCTTTCCTATATCCATCATAAACCTCCACACCGTTCTTCCACAAACTATTTAAGTCTTCGATTAAAGGTGTCAAGTATACGTCTATGTCATTCCCTGGTTATTATTTAGGTTATAAATCATAATAATTATAGGCCATGTGGAATGTGAGATACTTTATAGACCATGCGGATTCATTCCATCAGTTGATAATGCCAAGTGAAGGTTTCTAGCTTCTTCTCCAAAATCAAGATACTCATTGTCAATTTTCATCCACTGTGGTGAATCTGCCAGATGTCGATACTTCCCATATATAATTCTATCATATGCATGCCAAGTCAAGTGTTTTACATCTGTTTCACTACGAAACATGCGTCTAAATCTCAAAATTATAGGAAAATACCATAAGACTTTTGCTGGTGACAACTTTTTCTTATACGGAGATACACCGCATTTAGGACACTCATTTAATGATGCATATTCATTTCGAAACAAAATGCAATCATTTGGACAAGCATGTATCTTATCATAGCTCATGCCAATAGAGCATAACATTTTTTTAGCTTCATAGGTTTGATTGGGAAGAACATTATCCTCCGGAAGCATCTCTTTTATAAGGGCTAATAACTCTGTGAAACTTTTATCCAACCATTCATTACCCGCCTTTAAGTTGTACAATTTTAATACCGCAGACAATCTTGTGAAAGTAGTACAACCTTTATACAACGGTCTCTCTCCATCGCTTACCAACCTCTCAAACATCTTGGGACAATCCTGAAGATCTTCTTCAAGTGCTTCTGCAATCTCTTCGACTCGATCACAATCATATGTATCCCTGCCATTTTCATTTGAAGCATACGTCGTATTATCCCCCGGTTCGACATTCTCGTTACTTATCTCACCATGTAATGTCCAACATGTATAACTTCGATCAATTCCATGTCTCATTAAATGAGATTCTAACTGAACTGCGTCAATCTGGCGCCTATAATAGCAACCTAAGCAAGGACATGTGATCCTACTGGGGTCTTTGGCGTGTTCAACAGCAAACTTAAGGAATTTTGATACCCCATTCTCGTACTCTTTTGACAATCAATTAGAAGACATCCATTTTTTATCCATACTAATTAAGTAGGCTAAACTAAACTAAGAAAGCTAAACAAAAACAACGAATACCTGTAGCACCTGTAGAGAAATCACCAACTTCTAGAACTACACAATAGGATTCTTGAAAACGATCACAATCTTGCTCTTCATAGGTAACCCCTGTAACAGAAAAAATTAATAACATCATCAACATTAAATAATTCTTGGAAACAATCAAAATTAACAGACATAAATAATTCATTTACTTTCATCAACAACATCGACAACATCAACATCAACACTAACAACATCAACAACAACATTATCGTTACTTAATTCAAGTTTCCATCAACAACAATAACATTAACATATATACGAAATTAATTCATTTGTTTTCATCAACAACATCAACATCATTAACATCAACATTAACAACAACAACATTTGTTTCTATCAACAATATCAACAATATCATTAACATTATTTTTTTTCCATCAACATTATCATTTTAATATCAACAACACTAACAACAACAACATTAACATCAACACTAACAAAAACAACATTAACATTATTTTTTTCCATCAACATTATCATTTTAACATCAACAACAACACTAACATCAACAACAACACTAACAACAACAACATTAACATCAACACTAACAACAACAACATTAACATCATTTGTTTCCATCAACATTGTCATCTTAACATCAATAACAACACTAACATGCAACAACATCATTTGTTTCCATCAACATTGTCATTTTAACATCAACAACAACACTAACATGCAACAACAACATAAAAATGGTGGAAATGCACTGACAGTTAAAAAAACTAACAATGTTGATGGAAACAACAACATCAACAACAACATTAACATCAACACTAACAACAACAACATCAACATTATTTGTTTCCATCAAAAACAGTTTAAAAAATTTCAGATACCTAAAAAATGGTGGAAATGCGCTGACAATGGAGGTGGAGGACGAAGATGACGGTCAAAACGGACGGAATGAAACGGAGGACGGCGACGGGATGAAACGGAGGACGGCGACGGAAGTGGTCGACGGTGAGTAGGGTTTGTTCGCGAGTGGGAAAGAAGGAAACCACGACTGTTCTGTTTCTGGCAAAATTCTGGTGGATTTTTTTAAATTTATGCTACTTAAACCTATAGCAGCGCTTTTGCATGGCCTTTAGCAGCGCTTTTAAAAAGCACTCTCTAAGGTCTACCTTAGGCAGGATCTATAGCAACGCTTTCATAAAAGCGCTTTCTTTTGTACCACCTATAGCAGCGCTTTTCAGAAAGCGCTTTCTTAGACTGACCCATTTAGCAGCGCTTTATGAAAGCGCTCTCGTAGGTTACCCCTTTAGCAGCGCTTTCTGAAAGCGCTCTCGTAGGGCCTACTTTTAGCAGCGCTTTCTATTGTTAACCATAACTACCACCTTTAGTAGCGCTTTTCTAAAAGCGCTGTCTAAAGTCTCCTATTTTTTTTCTTTTTTTTCCAGACTCTTTAACAGCGTTTTTGCAAAAAGTCCTGTCTTTTCATGCGCTACCAAAAATCATTTTTGTAGTAGTGAATATAGATTTTTTTAAGTTAAATGATCAAAATATACTCGAGGTTAACATACACCAAAAAAGGATATTAAATCTATAAAATTTTATCCACAATATTTTTACAAGTTTGAAAATGAAAATAAAATATATCACTAAAACTTGAAGATAAGATATTATTGATCTGTTATTGACTCCAGATCTAAAACTCCATCCACAATCTTTGATAGATCTGAAGAAAATAATGAAAGAGAAACAATGTCAAAATCTTGAATCTTTGAAGCATCAAAAGTAAAAATGAAATTATATAACATATACAAGCATTAAAAATAACTACAGGTTTAAGAAAATACCAATTTTACAAAATTTGGTATGAACATACAAAAGGGGAAAAACAACATCTATAATAAAGACGGCATAAATAACAATCAGATTTAAGAAAAAATGAAAAAGAGACAAACAACTTATTACGAAGTTTGTAGAAATATTGATAGGGTTTGAAATGAGATGACTGAAGTGGATAAACATTACCTACTTAAAATGAGAAGAAGTGTACATAAAATGAATTGTAGAAATAAAAAAGATGAAGATTGATAAGAAGGTTTGAGAAATGGGTTTAAAGTTGTTTAGCGAAAGAAAAAGTTGAAGGTGTGAAGATATATAAGATTTATGAAAATATTAAAATTGAAAAAATAATAAATTTTATTATTTTATTTATAAAATAATTAATGTATCTCATGTACCTATAAATCAAATATATTAATTATTTAATATATTTAAAAATAAAATTTGTTTATAATATAAATGGAAATAGTACAATTATAGTTTTCTAACAATTCAAATACTAAATTAAATATATATAACAAATATTTGCCAACTAATCAATGAATTCAAGATACCGATACTCCTAGGTAGTAGTTATGAAAATTCCCCAACTGTCGGAGGCACAAGAAGACGATGGAGAAGTTGAAATAAAAGCCATAAATAACCATTCCCAACAACAACCCACCCATTTGGCCCCACCACCAAAATTTCAAAGTAACCTTTAAAACAAAGTTAAAGTTAAAATGGAATCTCTTAACAAATTTCCACATCAATCCACCACCCACACTCTCAAATCAATAACCAATTCTCAAACGTGAGTTTCAACTTCATGCTCTAATCTATTTTTTCTCCTTCAAAACCACTCCACGGGTATGTTTTTTTCTTCTTCTCTAACTATGTTTGTTGTTTTGGTATGTTATGTGTCCCTTGGTATCCCCTTTGTTTGACATGTGGTGAATCACAACAAATCAAGTAGAAAAATTGAATTTTGAAAAGTGGGTTTTGATTTTGAACCTGTGAGGATGCTTGTCTTTCCATGAATGAAGTCAAAATCAAACATTTACGAAAAGTAAAAATTGGGGTTAGGGTTTTCATTTTGGATTTCTAATTTGTGGTAGTACTGGGTTTGATTGATTTCAGGATATTGAGTGTTTATTATGTTTGTGATTTTTGATTAGGTGAATTGAATGAATTTCCTTTGAGTATAGTGATATCAATGAGAGGTGAAATGGTGAGTGGGTCATGGCTCAATTCTCTGTGGCCAGTTTCGCGCAAGAATGTGTTAGATGACAAGGCGGTAGTTGGAATTTTGGCATTAGAAGTTGCGAGCTTGATGTTGAAGATAACTAATTTGTGGCGGTCTTTGAGTGATTGGGAAGTAATGAGTTTGAGGGAAGGGATAGTGAATTCTGTTGGGATTAAAATGTTGGTTTCTGAGGAAGATGATTACTTGATGGAGCTTGTATTGAATGATATACTTGATAACTTTCGATTTCTAGCGCAATCTGTTGTTAGGTTTGGTAAGAGGTGCACGGATCCGGTTTATCATCGGTTTGAACATTTTGTTCGCAATCCGGTTCAAAATTATATTCAATGGTCAGGGTGGGAATATAAATGGAAAAAGATGGAGAGGAAAGTGAAGAAAATGGAAAAAATGGTTGCCTCCACGACACAATATTGCCAAGAGCTTGAAGTACTAGCAGAGGTTGAACAGACTTTCAGGAGAATGCAGGCGAATCCTGAACTCCATCGGGTAAAGTTGGTCGAATTTCAGAAGAAGGTCGCGTGTCGTCGCCAAGAAGTGAGGAATCTAAGAGATATGTCGCCGTGGAATAGAAGTTATGAATACGTTGTCCGGTTGCTGGTAAAATCACTATTCAGCATACTCGAGAGGATCATACTTGTGTTTGGAAATAATCAGATACCGGCGTTGCAACAAGAAAACGACTCCCAGGATGTGAATGCTAACAATTTTCTGCGTAGTCAATCTTTCTCTGTTTTTATGCATTCTTCTATTTATCCTTCAGAGAATGACCTCTACGGATTCAACAACTTGGGTTCTGTTGGGAGGCGGCGATACTTTTTATCCGACAAGAGCAAGAAAACGAAGGATCATAAGAAGGCTCTTCATCCATCAGATAAACCCGGAAAGCACAAACGTTCGGAAAGCAAGCAGTTAGGAAATATCGGTCCATTCAAAAGTTGCATGTCTGTTACAAGCAACTCTCCTGTCATACAGAGCTGCGTGCAGCAGACAAATGGTTACGGTGGTTCCATGAGGTTGCCAGATTCTCATACGAAACATGTTGACAAAACGAAAACAGCAGAAAATTCATCTCTCCCCATTAGAATTAGAATATATTCTAAATTACGCATCAACAATACGTCAAAGCCAGGTTCGCTTACCCTTGGCGATGCGGCTTTAGCCCTACATTATGCAAATATGATTGTATTGATCGAGAAGATGGCATCATCGCCTCACTCGGTTGACCTCAAAGCAAGAGATAATCTGTACAAAATGCTTCCAACTAGTATACGAATTGTTACGAGGGCTAAGCTCAAATGTCATATGACAAACAAGTCTTCCTCTATCCATGATGCAGAACTTGCAGCGAAATGGAGTACCGCGCTTATGCAGACGTTAGAATGGTTGGCTCCACTTGCGCATAACACCATAAGTTGGCATTCTGAGAGAAACTATGAGAAGGAGCATGCAACTGTAAAAGCAAATGTTTTACTAGTGCAAACTCTTTTTTATGCAAATCAAGCTAAAGCTGAAGCTGCAATGGTTGATCTCCTTGTTGGTCTCAACTATGTATTCAAGATTGAAACAAAAGTAGGTATGAGAGATAGATGTGAATGTTGATGTTGTTTTAGTATTGAAATTGAATGTCATGATCCTTGTATAGCTATCATTTTCAAATGGTTAGGCTTTTGATATTAGTAACTTGATCATGGTTTTAAATTGCGGTGGCGGATGTTGCGGTTGCGGCCAATGCGGTCACTGCATTGTGTATTGCGGCAGTTGCAGCATGAAATTATTTTATACACGCATTAAATATAAAAAAAATTATAAAATTATTGTAATTATTTATGTTTCTTGTTTTTATAATTGTGCATTAGTTTTAATTCACTTTTAAACTACTTTTAGGCTATTGTATTGTATTTATGTATAATGTAAACAAATATTATCATAAATAATATTGTAAGGTAAACAGAAATAAAAAAGGGCGTCGATAGACAATAGACCATAGACCAAGGAGCGAAAGCCATAGACTAAGGAGCGAAAGCCACTTAGTTGATTGTTAAATCTTTAGTTCGTGAGAAGGATGTGCTGCTTGAATTGATAGAGGAATAAGACAAGGGTTTATAGCGCCTTATTTTTTTTTTCTTCTGTAATAGGAATGGAGTATCTTTCAAGGAAACTCAAGCAGGAAGCCAGAACTAATCCAAATTTCAGTTATTATAAAAATTGCAGAAAGAATGAGATTAATAATCTTAGTTTTGCAGATGATTTACTAATTTTCTTTATTAATGATGATTGTGAAAAGTATCCTAAAATGAGTGGGAAAATTCACTTCAATGATGATTGTGACCTGTATTTTTAAATATATGGTAAAAAAATATAGGTTCAAGGGCAAATTAACAAATATATTTTTTCTCATTTTTTGGATACCCTCCCAAGTGCTCGAAAGTAATTTTTTAAGTATATAATACAATTTACAATTTATTTAAAATAAAAAGGACTATAGACACAAACATATTAATGTCTTATATTGCAATCTTGATGGTGAAAATCGTCATTTTGTTACACAGAGACTCTTCAATGTAAAAAACAAAACAAAACAAAAAGATGATGAAACTCCTAATTAGTATCTTTAAATTACATCTAAAATTAAGATTTTTCACATATATAATTAACTAAATATAAAGTCAAATGTTTGAAAATATAACCTACGTGTCTCTTGCTACCACATAGTGGAATGACGTGAATGAGCATAACTTGTATTTTTACTCTCACTATCATCTTGTGTAGGGGTGGCAAAATGGATGGATTGGATGAATATGGATTGGATTGTTAATGGATGGATCAAAGCAATCCATTAATCCATTAACGATCCACTAAACTCTCTTAATAAAAATCCAATCCAATCCATCAATTAAAAGATAAAATCCATCCAATCCATCCATTAACATATTTCTAATGGATGGATATCCATCCATCCAAAAAATTAATTTAAAAATTCTTAATTTAATAAGTGACAACATAATATCCAATGGATTTATAAAATGAGATGGATGGATTGAATCCATCTCCATATGAGTTAGTGGATGGATTGGATCAAATCCATTAAATTATTTTTTGTCTTATGGATGGATTGGATGGATAAATTATTTGATGGATTGGATGAATATTATCTAAATGGATTTCATTGCCACCTCTAATCTTGTGTAGCTCCCTGTCCAAAGACATAATTAAAAAAATTACCATTTGATTGTTGATGATAAGGATTGTAATCATTCATTGATTGTTGGGAGTACGTAGGAGCTTGATCACTAGGATATTGTTTAAAAGAGTTGAAATATGGATATTGGTAAACAGGTGGATAAGATTGTTGACTACTTTGTGATGAATCGTCAATCCCAAAATCACTAAAATTATGAGCAACTATCGGCAACCATTCTGCATTATGAATTTCATCCAATAATGGATTTCCCTCACTTTTATCCAATGAGATAACAGATCTTCTTGAAATATATAGTCAAGATTTATTGGATCAAAATTTGCTTCTATTTCTTACCGACTCTTCCTTAATTTATCTCTCATTCTCAACTTCATGTTGTAATGTGTGAAGATAAGCTTATGCAATTTTTTGTACTTCAATCTGTTTCTTGTCTTTTGTGGATATAGCTAAATGTACTCCAATTTCTCTCACAGTTTGTGGCAGAGGTTGTTTGATTAACAACTTTCATAACCAAACGTTGAAGTTCAGGAGCACATGAACCATGGTATTCCCACCACTAGGCTTTTTAAAGAAGAAAAATAAAATAAAATAATTGATTATATTAAAAAATAAAGTATATTTATAAGAACTTATAAAAGAAACTTGTATTTTACATGCATCCATCTTAGACCAAGATTTTTGAGCTAGAGGCGTACTAAACGTTTCACTCTTTTCTCTAAAAAGTGTTAGCTATATAATAAAACATATCAGTACATGAAAAAATTTCTTAATAAATAAATTATCATATGAAAATATAATATTCATTACTTACTTGATTTAGAGCTTTGATTTGATCATCCATGTTTCTTTCTAACTTCATGATTACATTAGTTGTTCCATTAAATATTTCTTTATACACATCTTTTTCACGCTCAATTTCATATTGAAATTGTGGATTAAGAAAATAACCTAGGAGTCAAAATCAATTATTGAGGATATGATATTATAAATTTAAATTTCATGACAAAATTAAAATTATAAAATATATTCACATACTAGCAGAATGAAGATCAGAGTGTATGAACTTTCAACGCTTGTCAATGATATCATTATATTTGGAATGTTAACGAGAATTTTGCTGAATAGTTTGTTTTGCTCACCAATGGCTTCATATATGAAACTTGTTCCGGTCTGGGCCGACCTCGGCAGGCCCAATACCACGTAAGGCCCAACAGGCGAACTGGACACGTCGGGCACGTGCGTCCCACGAGACGAGCAGAGAATGCCACCGGACACGAGCAGCGCATCCAACAGCAGCTCGTCGTCCATCTTACCAGCTGAGCAGAACCAACCCCGGCACACCAAAGCGCGACCTTGGTTCCTTCCTTCCGCGGGGAGAACAACGCGCTCTGGGGAACCTCCCGAGCTCACCTCCGCGGGGAGAACGACGTGTCCGGTGCACGTTCTCCATGTATACCCCTCCGCGGGGACATGTCATCCCCAACTGCCCACCTCCGAAAGAGCAGGTCAAACCCACTTTCCGGAGACCACGGGACGGTTGGACTAGGGCGAAGACCACGTCCTGGTCTTCACTACGCCACGTAATCCCTAGCAGTCACCTAGGTTGGGCCTGGCCATCCAGCCCAACACAAGTGACCGTTGGCCCAGCGCTGGGGTCTCTCTATAAATACCCTCTTCCTCAGGAGGGTCAGGTAATTCACTTCTTACCCAATTTCTGTACTTTGCTCTCGCTCTGCCCAACTCCTTACTTTGGCATCAGAGTGTTTTGCAGGTACACCCCCTTTCTCCTCCTCATCACCGGTGAACAGGTAGCAGTCCAATAGCGTGTGGCCAGCCCGTGATCCCCTTCCGATCAGGTCAGATCAGTGGCGCCGTCTGTGGGAACTTGAAACTTCCCCGTTACTCTGAGCAGAAAACCAAAAGTTTCACCAAACCTCCCCGATCATGGCTAGTCCACACCGCGACGGCACTCCACACGACCTCGTGCTCAACGTCGCCACAAACGGGAATAAACAGACGGGAACGGCGCATCAGGCGGAAACCGACAAAAGGGACGGTCAAACTGCTTCGCCGTCATCCGCGGAGCGGCCCCTTCAGGTCGACCTCCGACCCCCGAGCCCGCCAGCGTTCCAGCCCGTTCCCATCCCGGCGGGAGCGGACCCAACAGTGGCCGCTCTCTTTACGGCCATCAACCAGACGAACCAACTGTTGTTCTAACAAAATGCGAGAATTGGGGCGTTAGAACGCATCGGCCCTCCGAGGTAACCCCCGCGGGAAGACCAAAACGGAGGTTCGAGGAGTCCCTCGCCTCGACCCAGAAACCGCCGGCCGCGGCTGGAGAGATACCGCCCGCAGGTGACACGAGAACGCACCAGATCCCCAGCAAGACACGTTCGCATGAGGAATCAAAACGCCGCGGTGGTCCCGACCGAAGACCCCCGAGGCGAGAACTCAGGCAGGAGATCGAGAACCCGAAACCAGGGGCTGACCGTGAACGGCTCATCTCTCCATAGATCCCCGGCGCCCAGCGACGAGGATGATTACCGCACCCCGCTGTCCCGAGAGATCATGGATGCCCCCATACCCCAGGGGATGGAGAAACCACCGACGCTGTCGACATACGACGGCACCTCCGACCCAGACGATCACCTGGAAGACATCGAGGCTATGCTCGACTACCGAAACGTCCGGGGAGCTATCAAGTGCAGACTCTTCCCGACGACTCTGAGGAAAGGCGCTATGACCTGGTACAAAAGTCTGGAGCCCGAATCAGTTACGTCATGGAGGGTCTTGAAGGACCTGTTCTCCAAACACTTTACGACGTCCCGACGCCACCCGAAGACAGAAGCAGTCCTCGGGGCGATCATCCAAGGCCCCGACGAACCTCTCCGAAAGTACATCGAAAGGTTCACTCGGGAAGCAGTGCAGGTGACAACGTCCGACGAAATGAAACGCTACTTAATGGAGCAAGGCATGCGCCACGACTCCAAGTTCTACGAGGCCGTAGGCATACACCGGCCAACATCCCTCCAAGATTTCCTCGACAGGGCCGCACATTACATCCGATTCGAGGAAACACAGGCGGCCAACTCTGCTCGTGACACCCGAGACAGGGAGGCCCCCCGCGGGCACCAAGACGACGGAGCTTCGAGCCATCGACGAGGAGGAGACCGCCGTCGGGAAGACCGCCCCCGCGAACCACGCGGCCCGGCAGGAAGATTCACATAATACACAGCCTTGGTCGCTTCACGCGAGCGCATACTGGCCGAATGCGCTAAAACCGAGTTCGTGCAGGGAGGTGTCCGTTTCCCGCGACCAACACCGCCCAAACCCAACGTGGACAAATCAAAATACTGCCGATTCCACAGGGGCCACGGGCACGTGACAGAAGATTGCGTCC